CTCCGTCCTGCCTGCCTGCGGCGCACCGACGCGGAAGTCGCCCAGGGCCGGGCAGCGTTTCGAACAGTTTGACCGTCTGCGGCTCGACTTCCCCACCAGGGGACAAGGGCCCTCCCTGGAGCACGCCTGAGCGACGACGCAGACCTGGCGGCAGGGGGCTGCTTGCACGAGCACTCGTGCGCAGGCTGCCCGCGTGAGGCCGCACGCCAGCGCCCCCCCCCGCCCCCCCCAGCCATGCGGCGTGCCGCGCCAGCGGCCTGCCTCGCTCTCTCCTTGGCTGCAAGACCGCCGTGCCCCTCGGCACTCGCTAGGTTCGGGGGCCACATGCGAATCCTACCGTCCCACGATTTCCGAGGGGGCGTGCCGCGCCAGCGGCCTGCCTCGCTCTCTCCTTGGCTGCAAGACCGCCGTGCCCCTCGGCACTCGCTAGGTTCGGGGGCCACATGCGAATCCTACCGTCCCACGATTTCCGAGGGGGAGGGTGGGGTTCACTTCGTTCGGGAGCTCCCGAGCGAAGTGAACCCCACCCTCCCCTCAAAAATCGTAGGGGGGTAGGGGTAGGGTTCACATGTGGCCCCCCTATCGGTCACCAGGTTCGGGGGCGCCCGCAGGTGCCCCGAGCCCATGGTGCCCCCAGCCCAGGGTGCCCCCCGGCCCTCCTCTCGCTCGGCTTCGGAGCCCCTTGGGGCCCCCCTGGGCCTCGCGAGGGGTGCTCTGGAGGCCCTGCGGGCCTCCTCGGAGATCGTGGGGGGGCACCCACGATCTCCAAGGAGGCCCAGGCTGGCCCCTGGGGCCCCCCTGGGCCAGGGGCGCTTCTCCAGCACCGCCCGACAGGTGCTCGGTCGGTTGTCTCTGCCCGCCGCGCGATCCCGCGGCGGTGCGGCGACGGTGCTCTCCGAGGCCTCTCGCCGGCGCTCCGCCGGCCGCCCCGCGTGCGCACCGCGCCCGCGGGGCGGAGGCGACCAGAGCCCCCCCCCCCCCTGGCGGTCTGCCCGCCCTCGCGCGGCCGAAGGGCGGGCCCTGCTCGCTGGCACTCTGCCTCGCTGCCCTCGCCGCGCGCCGTGGCGGGCTCCTGCCGCCGGCCCGCCCTCGGCTTCTCCCTCGCTCACCTCCCCCCCCCCCGCTCCGAGGAGGAGGGGGAGGAGGAGGGGGAGGAGGGGGAGGAGGGGGAGGAGGAAGGGGAGGAGGAGGAGGATGAGGGGGAAGAGGAGGAGGAGGAGGGGGAGGAGGAGGAGGGGGAGGAGGGGGAGGAGGGGGAGGAGGAGGAGGAGGCCCCCTAGGAGCGCGAAGATACGCGCGCCTCGCACGTCGCGGTCAGGGCCAGATCAGCTCCCCCGCCCCACAAGGGGGTTGGCGCGAATGCGCGACGGCGCGAAGATCCCCACGCGTCGCTCATCTCAGGAGGGAAAAAACACAGACACAATTCATCGTCGATCCCCCAGAAAAGATTGGAAAATATGGGAAGTGAGGGGGAAGACAAGAACCCAGAAATCATGGGAAAGTATGGGGAATCCTGTTGTTTGTGTCTACTTATTTGTGTGTCCCAGGGCCCCTTCATCATCGCGGGGCGCGATGCGCGAAGTTAGGTGACCCAGTCCCAAGATATCTGATGTCTTGCTTTTCTCCAGTACTGGGCCCCCAGAAGTCCCGACCCTTTCCCCCGCTTTTCCGTCCCGAGCCGTCTTTTTCCCCAAGAGCGTTTGGCTGGAAGGATTCGAATGGTTATGGAAAATGACCACAGAAGAGTCCGCCAGCCTGGACGGGGAGCCCGAGATTGCCCAGTCCGGCAGAGGTCCAGCAGCCGATTCACCAGTGACTTCTTCACAATTTATCGTGAAGGCCTTACAGTGCCGTTTTTAATACATGCTCCGCGTGCGGATCATGTTTAAAAAATGCAGGGATTTAGTATTAAAAACAACGACGAGTTCATGCATAATTTATTCATAAATTAAGCATGCATTAAGTATCAGTTTTTTTTGTCCAAAATCCTATGTATAAAAAACTGCCCTGTACGGCCGGTGCCGCCGACCCTGAAGGCCGGATCTCCCTCGGGACCCTCGCCGGTGACCCTTCCTGGGACCCGCCGGGGCCCCGGCCGGGGCAGTTCTTTCTCTTTGTTCCTCAGCTTCTTTGGGACTGGACGACGACGACGACGACGACGACGACGACGACGACGACGACGACGACGACGACGACGACGACGACGACGACGACGACGACGACGACGACGACGACGACGACGACGACGACGACGACAGCGTCTTCCACACGCCGTCGGGTCGGCAGATCCAGGAGTTGTGCTCTCGCCTCAGTGTTGGACAATCAGTTTTTTTTGCCCAGGCGGCCACGATTTTTGGCAAAAAGATCACGGGGGGGTGCGCGTGGCCGTGCTCTCGCCCTTGTCCCGGCTGGTTACCTCGTGCGCTTCCATCCTTAGTCCTCCTTCGACCTCCTACCCCTCGACCCGCCGTACAGTGCCGTTTTTAATACATGCTCCGCGTGCGGATCATGTACTAGAAGCCACGATGAGTTCATGCATGGATTTATTCATGAATTAAGCATGTATTAGAAATCCTATATTTTTAAAATCCAATGTATCAAAAACTGCCCTGCAAGCAGAAAACTCAGGTCCGCGCAGACTCCTCAGATCGGCGCTGGGGCCCCCTAGCGGCTGGCGCGCTCCGCGCGCGCCAGGGAGGGGGGCCCAGCGCCGATCCGAGACACCCGCGCGGACCTCTGAACGATATACTACAAGATGGGTATACTATATGTTCGGGTCGGACGCGCGCCTCCAAGGAGGACATATAGTATTAGTATGTCCATGTGCGTCCCACTTCGTCTCGTCCCGAGGCGCCCCCTGCCCTCCCCCCCTTCGTCCGCGCGCCTGCCTCGGGCCCTGCTTTCTGCGGCGGCCCCTCTCGGGCGCCCCCCCCCCCCCCCCCCCCCCCCCCTTGGACGCCCCCGAGCTCCCTCCGCCCGCGGCTTCTCCATCCCGGCGTCGCCCTTTTTTGTGGTCACCGCCTGCGAGCTCGCCCCGCTTCGTGCCCCGGGGCCCGGGGCCCTCGCAGAGAGGGTGTGCCCACGGGCCCTGCCGCCCTCGCGTACTCTTTCGTCGCCGCGTCGGATCCGAGGGTGGGCACCGCTGCCGCGGCTCGTCCGGGGGAGCCCTCGCCGCCGGGTTCGGCTCGGGATCCTGGTCGGGGCGCGCCCTGGGAGAGGTGCAGGGAGCGCAGTCGGACCGAGGTGTAAGATCGAGGTCGGCTCGGGGAGGGTACCTTGGTGTTCTGCGCGTTTGGCGGATGTTCTTGCGCATCCTGCGGGAGGGTGCCCTCGAATGCTCTGCAGTTGGCCAGCGGAGGGTCTCGTGTTCTTGAAGGATGTTCCTCTGTACTGGGTGCGACTGTAGCGGCATCCCCAGACCCCCGACTTTTTTTTTTTTTTTTTTTTTTTTTTTTTTTTTTTTTTTTTTTTTCCAACGTGGACCCTGAAAGGTCTCGGCCCATTCCCCGGGACCGGTTTTTCAGCCAAAGTCATTTTTTGACGGTCCCGAGGGCCGGTGAGGGCTTCCAGAGGCCGAAAACACGGGAAAACCGTAAGTAATTTTCATTGCGCGAAGGGGTTCTGGGTCAGTAACTACCCCTTCGTCGCCTCCGCTTCGGTTCGAAAGTGCGCCCGGCGGCAGGGTCCGAGAGGCGCAGTGGCCGACTCGGCAGCTCAGAATCCTGCGGGACCGGGGGGGGGGGTGGGGGAAGGGGCACTGGGCGGCGCACTCCGACGCGACGCCTGGGCAGGCCCTCCTCTTCTGCGCCCCCTTCCTTGGCACCGCTCGGCCGTGTGCAGTTTTTCTCGGCGAGGACCATCGAGGAGCACATAGGATCATCTTGTGAACACATGCACGCACGAGATCGAAACACGAATGACATAAACAGAAAAACTGGGAGGTCCGCGCGGATTTCTCGCATCCGCGCTGGACCCCCCTGCGGCGCCTCCGGCGTCGCCCCTGGCGCGCTCCGCGCGCCAGGGAGGGGGGTCCAGCGCCGATCCGAGAAACTCGCGCGGACCTCAGTTTTTTTATCTTCATGTCATTCGTCGTTCCCCTAGAGGACCATCGAGGAGCATCTAGGATCATCTTGTGAACACATGCGCGCACGAGATCGAAATCATGCGCGGGGAATGGACGTCCGAGCGAGGGCCAGCTTCCGCCCTCCCCCTCTCCCTGCTCTGCGGGCACCTGCGTGCCCAGACCCCCGACGCCCTGACCTTGTCACAACGTTTAAGTCGGGCCTGTCCCCCTACAGGGGGATTTTCGACGAAAAAAAGAGAATACCCCAAACATAGTCAAAAAATACTCCAAAAATGGTCTGGGGACTATTTTTTGAGTATTTTTTGATCTTTTAGGGGTATTTTTTGGGTATTTTTATGTTTTCGTCGACAATTCCCCTGTAGGGGGACACGCCCGACATAACCCGAGGTCTCGGCCCGAGTTCCCAGGACCGGCTTCTCATCCGGAGTCGTTCCCTGACGGTCCCGGGGCCCCGCGAGGGCCCCCAGGGGCCGAACATGGCCAATAGCTTCACGTCGCGATTTGTCCTGACCCGAGGGGGTCTCTCATGGCGCCAACATCGCAGGTCGGATTTCGTTCGGAAAGCAATAGGATGGGCCCAGAGTGTCCTGGAGAATTTCGCCCTGGATTTCGAAGTGAATTTCGTGTAGATTGTGTTGGCCGGGATGGAGACTACAAAACATCCACGTGAAATTCACGTCTTTTTTTCGCTCGCCGTTTCGGGGTGTTGCACCGAGAGAACTCCACGCGAAAATCCGCTGCAGCACGTCTGCAAGGTCGGTGCAATGAGTCCTGACCCGAGGGGATCTCTGGGTGGGATATCTGGCTTCATCCCGCTGAATTTGCGGCCTGATCCTGCGTAGTAATTAGCCCCCCCCAAGGGGGTTCATTCTCCTTACTCCCTCCGACGAAGACCTCCCAGTGGTTGTCTCCTGAGGTATTCATCATCGTGTGGGCCGTCGTCATGGGCAGCGCCTGGATCTACCTCGGCGGGGGGTCGGGGTGCCGCGGCTGCTGCCGCGGCTGCTCTGGCCGCCCGTGCCCCGCGCCGCTCCTGCGCGTGTCCCCCCCCCCCCCCCCCCCCCTCCCCCCCTCTCCTCATCCTCCTTCCTCCTCCTCCTCCTCCTCCTCCTCCTCCTCATCCTTCTCGTCCTTCGCCTCCTTCCTCCTCCTCCTCCTCCTCGTCTTCCCCTCCTCCTTCCTCTTCCTCCTCCGTCTCCTCCTCCCCCACCCTCGTCTCCCCCCCCCCTCTCCGCTGCCGCTGCTCTTGCCGCTCGTGCCCCCCAGAGCTCCTGCCAACACTGGCCTGCCCCCCTTCTCAGTATCGTTCAACCGATCCCTATTCCCATCCACATCCACATCTCGAGCCCCAGCGTCTCACCACCTCAGTTGGGGATATGTCCCTCGAACCCCGAAGAGAGCAGCCTAGCCTATATCCCCATCAGGGGGGTAAATCGGCCAGTGGGGCCCAGCCAGCCCACGCTGGTGGGGATGGGGATCGCTTAAACGATGCTCACCCTCTCCGCTGCCCCTGCTCTTGCCGCTCGTGCCCCCCAGAGCTCCTGCCCCCACGTCTCGATCGGCGCCTTCCCAACATACTAATACTGTCTGCGTCGCCCCCAAAAGGGGCGACGCGCGCGCCGATAAATCTTACAGTATAGGCTTCGTGTCGGACGCTGTCTAGCAGTACCGCTCGGGAAATGCTGTACTACAAGATGGTTGTATCATTTGTTCGGGTCGGACGCACTCCTCAAAGGAGAACACAGCATCAGTATGGCCATGTGCGTCCCACTCGATGATCGTCAGGGCCTCAGGACGCGTGCTAGCCCAATTTTGTGATTACCCTGTTCGGCCTGCGCCGGCCGTCGTTGCATCACCTTCGTCATATTGAAGGGCTTCGGTGGACCAGCACACGCCGGCGCCGACACACTCCCTGAGGATCATCAAGCCTCGTCTCCCCCCTCCGCTGCCGCCGCTCTTGCCGCTCGCGCTCCCCCAGATCGGGGAGACGTAGGGCTCGAGTGCGCCGCAGTCCGGGCTTGCTGGCGCTCTTTGGCGGGCCCGTCCCGGATTTTGACGGTCCAGGCGGACCGCAACGTTGCAAAATTGCCTCCTCGTCAGGACACGCCACTGCAACAACGGTTACTCCAGATTTCGTAATAAAAGGGAGGGGGTCTGGACCCTCCAAGACAAGCCATTTCAGACCTCCCCCGTGGGAGAACCCTCCAAAACATCGTCCCCAGACCCCCACAGGCCCTCCAAGATAGCCTGGAAGAGACCCCCCCCGAAATGAGACCCCCCTCCCTTTATTCCGAAATCTGGAGTATGCAACGGCGTATCGGTGGTCAAGCCAACACGGGGCGTGCCGACAGGACGGCGCACTCGGCGAGCCAGCGGAGCGTCAGATACAGCACACCGCATCGCACAGATGATGCAGCGCGAGGAACACCATAATGACTATCATGCGTACCGTAAGTACATGATGAAGTCGCGAAGCGATCGACCAGCAGAGCTTCCAGTTTTGGTGGGATCCGTTCAGCGGGAGCCCGCGCCACATTTTCAGACTGGGTCTCGTCATCTTCCTGACGGCCCCGTCGGGCCAACCCGAGCCCCTCTGACCCGAGTCTCACGTCTCCCGAGCTCCTGCCCCCGCCTCCCAGGGTCCGTTTCGATCCGATCGATCCGATTCGATATCGGTTTCGGCCCGCTCGCTCCGATTCGGTTTCGATACTCCGACGATCCGATGGGGCCCGATGCCTGCTTGTCGCTGTTGTGCGTCCTGGCGCAGCCGATGCGATTCTATTCCGACTCCGTGCCGATGCGGCCCGATTCGACGCGCGTTCCGATCGGATCCGAATTATTGTTTCGATGCTGGCTGCTTCTGCCTCCTCGCGCTGCGAACAAACCACGACGGAGTGCTTTTTGCAATCTTCGGCCTCTGGGGCCCGCACCGGGCCTCGGGATCGTGAGAGAACGGCTCAGGATGGAAAGCCGCTTCTGGGGAAGGGGTCCAGACCTCTGGGGGTCCACGGGAAGGTTTAAAGCTCCCCGGCGTCGACGTGAAGGTTATCGTAAAGGAAGACATCGATAAACTCACACAAGACGCCGAATTCAATGGAGCACCGGCGCAGCGCGCGCGGATAGGGCGCTGACCGCGGCTGGCCCGCATCGTCCCGGCACAGGAAGAAGCCGACCATCTCCGGGCAGATTCCTTCCGATAGCGCGAACGCCAACCGCGCGAGTCAGACCCTTGCCGTGCCTCGGGACTGGCAAAAAACTACTCTGGATAAGAAGGCGGGCTCCGGGGCAGGGGGCCACAACTCGTCGGTCACGTGCAAGGGAAGGGGGGGAAGGCCTGTTCGGCCCCCTGCTTCTTCGAAGGCGCGGGCCCGATCCGTGGACGCAGGGCCGGCGCCTTGCAAGGAGCAGCCTCCTTCTAAGGAGCCTTCCCCCTGCCTGCATGCCCCTCGTCCTCCTCCTCCTCCTCCTCCTCCTCCTCCACCTCCCTCCTCCTCGTCCTTCTCCTCCTTCTCCTCTTCCTCCTCCTCCTCCTCCTCCTCCCCCCTCGTCTCCACCCCTCCCCCTCTCCGCTGCCGCTGCTCTTGCCGCTCGTGCCCCCCAGAGCTCCTCCCCCCAGTGCTCGTGCCGCTCGTGCCCTCCTCCTCCTCCTCCCCTCCTCCTCCCCCTCCTCCTCCTCCCCTCCTCTTCCTCTCTTTCCTCCTCCTCCTCCCTCCTCCTCCTCCTCCTCCTCCTCCTCCTCCTCCTCTCCTCCTCCTCCTCTCCTAGCCTCTCGCCTCCTCCCTCCTTTCCTTCTCTCCTCTTTTCTTCCATCCTCCTCACCTCCTCTCCTTCCTCCTCCTCCCTCCTCCTCCTCCTCCTCCTCTCCTCCCTCCTCCTCCTCCTCCCTCCTCCTCTCTCCACCTCCTCCTCCTCCTCCTCCTCCTCCTCCTCCTCCTCCTCCTCCTCCTCCTACTCCTCGTTCTAGTCCTCCCCCTGCTTGCGCGCCGCCGAACTCTGGTGGCCCATGCCGTGCAAAAAGCACGACGTCGGAGTTCGGTGGGCAGCGGCGTGCGCTCTCCCCCTCGGCCAGCTGCGCTCCCTCCCCTCGGGCCGTCGGAGGCCTCTCAGGGGCTCCTGCGGAGGCCTTCGCGGGGGCTCCCGGAGGTCTCCAGGGGCCCAAATGTCGGGGCCCAAAAGGCGGGGTCAATGCAAGCGGGGGTCAGCCAGAGCGCCAGATCCTGCGGGATCCTGCAGAGCCAGGGGTGCACTGACCAGGGCCAGCGCGCAGGATCCTGCAGGATCTTGCAAAGCCTGACTGGCCTGGGCTTGCCTCGACCCGGGTCGCTGCGCCCCCGGAACGACGGCCGAGCGCGCTCAGGAGTGCGGAGAAAGCTCCGCCTGTTTTGGGTGGGCCGGGGTTCAACGGCAGGACGGGGCCGGGGCCCCGCCGGCCGCCGCACACCCCAGGACCCCCCCAAAAGCGACTGCCGTCCAGCTATGGGTTGCCCGTCATTCGGAAGTATGGGAAACCCGGAATCACTACATACCCTGATGTTTTTCGTGCTGGCTGGATGTTCTTGTGCATCCAGGGGGAGGGTAGCCTCGAATGACCTTAGGGTTTGGGGTGCTTAGGCCGGCGAAGGGTCTCGTGTTCTTGAAGGATGTTCTTCTGGCCGAGGTGAGACTGTACGTCAGTCTAGACCTTCGGAGGTCCACGCGGATGTTTTTGGATCGGCCCTGCACCCGCCTGGCGGCGTCTCCTGCGGTGCGCCTGGCGCGCTCCGCTCGACAGGGAGGGGGTCTCAGCGCGGATCCAAGAAGTCCGCGCGGACCTCCGAGAGGTGATGTTTGCGCAGTTCTCCTTGCTCTGGACAGGGGGGTCCCGAGAGCGTCGTCGCTTCTGGCCTCCCAGGGCCACTGCGGGGCCCCAGGGGCGTCAGACAACGGCTCGTGATCAGAAGCGGGTCCCTCTGGGACCATCGACCACAGGGGAACCCTCAACCCTAATAGCGCGATGAAGACGTGGCCTCACTGAGGGCCCCGTCTTCGCATTCGGAGTAATGATTCTGGGCGGTCCAGTCTGATGCATCTTGCAGAAGAGACCCCCTTATCCCTAATGTTTCTGGCTTTCCTAGCTTAGGTCCCCTCCCAAAGGCTTAGGGGTCTTGTTTTGGTGGATCATCGGAGAGCCCCAGGGTTCAGGACCCATGTCTCTGGGTTTCTCCAGGGGCCCTCTCTCGGAGGGCGTCGGCCATGCAGTTGCATCGTGGACGACGATCAACGGAGAGGAAACATGTTTCCAAATAGTTTCCAGATGTCAGAAACATGTTTTGAAAAAGCAGGATTGACAGATTTTTGGAACATGGTCGACATTTTTAACACATGTGCAATTCAATGATCGGATTGTCAGGGTGTCCATTGTCATGGCATCCGCAACACTTGCACACATGCTGGCCGTGCCCGCCCTGGGCCTGACGGCGGCGGCGGCGGCGGCGGCGACCTCCAGAGCTCTCCTGGAGCACCACAAGCACCACGCCACACACGCCACACCCACAGCACCTCACCGCACCCACAGAGGGGGGGGGGACCATCGCGCGGGGGGGGGGGCCCAATGGCACATCAGCATGAGGGGGGGGGGCCGTGGAGCCCTGCCATCCCATTCGGGGGGGGGGGGCGTGGGCCTGGAGCCGGGGATCATTCGTGCCTTCGTGCCCGCGGCAGGAGGGCGCACACGCCGGTCCTTGGGCCGGGACGGGCCTGGCCAGGATCGGTGCGGGTGTGCAGTTGGAGCCCTCCTGCTCTTTCGGGGGCTGCAGAGAGGGGGGTGATGACTAGGGGGGGGCGAATATCATGGCGTGGGCCATGATATTTCCCCAGATTTCATGGCGCCTCTTCTTATTTCATTGCGTCCCTGGCCCCCTCCCTTGGGCCGCGCACATGCCGCGGGCCATGATTTTCACCCCCCCCTCTTGGACGCCCCCCTCTTGGCCTCTCCC